AATCACATCGAAGCGCTGCAACAGTCTCACCAACACATAGCCCGTCTCGGTCAGCGCAAACTGCTGCCCAATGCAAATCCGCGGCCCACCGTTGAACGGCAGGTACTCCCATCCGGCCTTGCGCTCGTTCCAGCGATCCGGACGGAATTCGTCAGCATCGGCGCCCCAAAGATCAGGCCGACGGTGCATCACGTAGGTGCTGTAGAAGACGGGCTGGCCCTTCTTGACGTAGACGGGGTCCGTGCCCGCGGGACCACCGCCCGTGGGGAGGGTGGTGTTGCGGACGGCCGTGCGGCGGTTACCAGGGACAATGGGGTAGAGACGGAGGACTTCATTGAGGAAGTTCTGCAGGGGACGGCAGGACTTGAGGTTGGCGAAGGTGATGTCATGGGGGGAGGAGTAGGAGCCGAATTCCGCGAGGATGGTGGCGCGCAGGGAGTTGAAGTAGTCCGGGTGGCGGGCGAGGAAGAGGATGCACCACGACAGGAGAGAGGCAGTGGTATCGCGACCGGCGAGGAGGATGTTGAGGAGCTGGGAGCGCAGTTCGACGGGGTCGCGGGTGGCTTCGGCCAGACCGTGCAGGAAGACGTAGTGGCCGGTGGGTTTCTTCTCCGGGTCGGAGTTGAGAGCAGCGGAGACGAAGCGGTCGACGTAGGCGTGCACGGCTTTGTTGATGGCGCGGCTTTCCTTGTTGTTCACGGTCCAGTAGAGCTTCTCGAAGCGAGCGCGTTGGGCGGAGTACCATTGACCGCGGTCGAATTGGGCAGGGAAGTCATCCTGGGGAATGGCGCCGTTGCTGAGGGCGGCGGCTTGGCTCTGGACACTCTCGCCGAAGAGGAACTCGGTCGCGGTGTCCATGGTCAGGCGGAAGAAGATGGTCTGGATGTCGGTGGCGGCGGTCCAGCCGGTGGTGGCGTCGACGGGCATGGCTCTCATGGCGACTTGGACGTGACGCTCCTCGAGATCGAGGTCGCTGATCTGGTCGCGGGTGAACTGAGGACGGAGGAGAGCGCGAGAGCGAGACCAGTGGTCGCCATCGGCAGTGAACTGGATACGAGTTAGAAGGGTGATGGTTTGGATAGGGAGGAAGTGGTGGACGTACGATACCGCTGCCCAGCAGCCAGTGCAGAGCGTTGCGACGGGACTGGCCGAGCTCAAAGTCCTTGAACTGAGTGGCCAACAAGGCCTGGACGTTCTTGGGATCGCAGGTGCTGATGACATCGGTGCCCAGCTGACGGAAGTGGAAAGTGGTGGTATAGCGATTCTCGCGGGCGGACATGATGTCAACACGGCGGCGGGTTACTGTGGGCACTTGGCGAGCCTTGTCCATAGCCAGCGCCTCCTTCAGGGTGTTGATGCCCAGCACATCACCGGGGTATGAAGGAATACTGCCGCAGTTCCATTTACGAGCATTTTGCGCATGTTGCCAGCGAGAGAGCAGCACATATAGAAGGTAGAGGACGGGGGAGGCCGTTGCGACAAACAAGAGTGTCGACATGGCGAAGGGTGAGGTGGGGGGAAGAGAGGGACAGAAAGATGAAGAGGAAGTGAGGAGAAAAAGCCAAAACTGGCGAGGCAAAGAGGGGTTGATGGAAGTAAATAAATGTACCGGGCGGGAAGTTAGATTCATTTATGTTGCAACTACTAAAGTGAATACGATGGAGTATCAGGATGGCCAGCAAACCGAGTGGCCGGCAACCGAGGCAGATCGGACCATCCTCATGATAGAGAAAGCAAAAAGGCAGTATGGACACATCGGACCGTTGGAAAGAAACTTGAGATGATTAGTCGTGGCAGTGGAGTACCGGCGACCCCTAGTCTGAGACCTCGGAGCTTCCAACTGGATGGAAGCAGGAGGCCCGCCATGACAGGCTTCAGGGGTGGAGAAAAGGTATCTGGTTTGACCCGGGCATATCGCCATCTGTTCATTCTTATTACCGTTGGGTCTGCACAAGCATTCCCCTGGCCTATAGTGCACCACCACTATACCTTCTCTCTAAACGAACAGGGCCAACCGGATTGCAGGCTTACGGGAAAGATGCATCCTGGAGGATGATTAGTCTGCAGCCACACCGGTTGGTTCCAACACCGCGGCTTTGCATCTACATTGTACTTAGTATGTACTCTGCACACTATATTAGCCTCGATGGCATTGGGTGTTCCCGGCCCCATCTTAGGGCACACTCCACTGCATCAATCCCAACCATAACAATCTCATTGTGTGTTCAGTCATCCATTCATTCCTCTTTCTATTATTATTATTATGATAGTTCACTACGTAAACTAGTTATTCATGTTCTGTGGAATGACTCACTCACTCTCTGGTTCCAGGGGTACTGAACCAAGAACCCAAGCACATGCTGTTCCCATGCCAGGTCCGAGGTAGGTTTCACCTACAGAATTAGGCAAATGCAAGTGTTTCTGCCCGCGCTCGACTTCCCAATGCGGTATCTGTGCGTGCCGCTCATTTCGGTCGCCCTGCCGGCACTTTATCTCTGTCCAGCAACACTTCCGATCTTCTAACTATGCTAATTTAGAACGTTAGTCACTAAAATCGCTCCATGCTAAATCGACTGGCTGTGATGGTCTCATCCCCACTACACTTTCCGCCGCACCAATCCACGGAAGAAGTCAAAACTGTTACTGTCGCTCTGCAGCTGCCACACCCGGCCCGTCGGCCGGTCATCCCAGCCCAGTTCCTCTGCCAGCAGCAGCCCGTAATCCCGCGTGATCCCCTTAATGCGCGCGCGCACACCCCCCTCTTCCTCCAACGTCACCACCTGGTGCATGTGCAGCCAGTCTGCATAATACATTTCTTCGAATCCCCGATCGAACCCGGCCCGCAGGAATCGCGTATACAGCTCCTCAAACGTCGTCAGAATGCGCGCCAGCAGCTTCTCCAGTGTGATCGGGGCGGCCCGGGGCCCAAGGAACCGCGCCGCCAGCGCCGTCAACGACGTCGTAGGCGATGCGTTCGTTGCGTTGATGCCGATGCCCACGACCGAGATGTACTCGTTCGCGCAGTAATGCGAGTTCACCAGGATGCCGCAGATTTTCGAGTACTGCTTCTTCTCCGGGTTCTCCGGGTCCAGTGCATCTGTCGGCTGATCAGCATCATCCCAATTCCTCATTCCTCGATCAGATCATCAGAAAGGATCACTTACACACGTCATTCGGCCACTTTAGCTTGACCGGTAACTCCGAATATCCGACGTCGTAGTTCTTGATTCCCTGCACCACCGCCATCGCCGCCAAATACTGGATAAACACTACTGGTGCTGACTGTATCTTCTCGAGCGGGTGGCGCAGCACCGTTGAGAATATCAGCGCTCCGGCCGGCGACACCCAGACGTTCGATCCGCGGCCGCGGCCTGCCACCTGGGTCGTAGCGCTGGCGGTGAAGCCGTTGGGCAGCTTGCGCAGCAGCTTGGGGTTTCTGACCCGTCAGTCGTGTCTCGCTTCTGTCATCGGACAGGTCTACTTACTTTTCCAAGATCGTGTTCGTGCTAGTGACGACCTCGCCATACACGAGGTGGGAGCCAAACTCCGATGCACCCTCGCGGGACTGCGATTGGTACTGGTGGAGGTTGGAGTAGAAGGCATGGTGATTGAAGTAGGGCGTCAGCTTCGATGATGGCACGTCGTCGTGCACCACCAGTCGCTTGACGATGGCGTTGTAATCCACAATACCCTCCGTAGACTGCGATGGCGCTGGGAGAGAGTCCTCCAGTTGGCTCAGGTTCCACGCGCCGGGTCTCTCAATCCGGAACGTGTCATTCTCATCCTTCAGGATCTCCTCATTGCCATCCTTGGTGATGATCTCCTGCCATGACGCCACCAGATCGGCCGTCTCGGCGGGCTCCTGCGAGGACAGATGCAGCGACGACAGCGACGGCACGGTGGTCGTGCTCTGCGTCACCTGCAAGCCCAGCTTGACCAGACATGCTTTGAGGAAGTCCGTGCGCGCCTTGTCATCAGCCTCCAGCGCCTCCACGACCTTTGCGTAGTCGGGGCCACCGGCTTTTTTATCCAGGTTTGCAGCTGCGAACCTACCATTCATCAGCACACGTCACCTAGACCACCTGGAACCACAGAGGATTAGAAATACTCACTCCGGATGCGGTCCCGTAAGAACAACCCTCCCCTCCCCAACGCGACAAAACACCACGGCGGCCTTCCCCTCCCCAGAGTCAACATTCAGTTCCTCCTCAAAGCTCGCCAGCACCTCCACTCCCTTATCAGCCAAGGTCGGCGCATCCACAAACACCCCACCCCCGTTATAGTAGCACCTGAATCGCTCCGGCACGATCCCCGCATTTAGGATATCCTTATTCACCGAAATCTCCGCGGCCCTCGCCCCCGCCTCACTATGATAGACGAACCCCGCGAACGCCCCTCCGCGACATGTCCCAGGGTAGAAGGCCAGTTCACGCTCTCCGATAACCTGAAGTGTCTTATCGCCGACCTCGAATTCGCAGCGTCGGGAACCGTAGTACCCGCCCGCGCAGAAACCGAGGTAAGCGCCGCCGCGCTTGACGAATTGTTCGATACGGCGGTTACCGGGGCCATTGAGAACGCGACCGTAGCCTAGATCAGCGCCGCCGGGAATGACGAGGAGAGCGCAGGTAGCGGTCCAGGGTTCGCGGAGGAGGGCGTCGGAGGTGACGGGGATGACGGCGTAGTGGGGGGCTAGAAGGCGGCGGAGGGAGTAAAGGGTGTGGCGGACCGATTCGATGGTGGTTCCATTGCCTGGAAATCAAGTATGTTATAGTGAGTAGACTGTAGTGTATAATATTGGTTGAGTGAGAGTCAATGGGATCGTGGATGATGAAGCGGGGAGAATAGAGGGGAAAGTGACGCACCGGAATAGACCAGAACGTTGACCTTTTTGCCGGTCATATTGGGGGTCGCCATTTTTGCGGCAACTACCTGCAACTCTCTCGGAGCAACCACTCAAGCACAAGCAATCAAGCAATTGGACAGTCAAGCAAGCAAGCACAATGTCGGACCAGGAGAAAAGGGAGAACCCGCCCGTGGAGGAGGAGGAAGACGACGACGAGCCGGATGAATGGTGAGTTGTTGGGATGCGAAGATCGGAGGAAGGGAAAAGAGTTGGTTGAGCTGACAGTCCATCCAGGGACAAGCGGATCTTCAGCACCGGCTGTGCAGGTACATTCCCATCTTTTATTCTCTATCCCAAATAACTGCTAAGAAACAATCACAGCGGAACAAATGAAAATGAACGACTGCTGGTTCGAAAAGAAAGACTGGCGCCAGTGCCAGAGTGAGGTATAATATCCCCATCCCATCCATGATCATCTCGCAACCCTCACTCACCAAGTTGCATCAGATGGAAACCTTCCGCGAATGCTGGAAACGCCAGGGCAACGACGAACGCACACAGACCAAGGATGCTTAACTGATACTGATGCCACAAACCATTTGTACAATAGAATAATACTAGAATCTCCATTACTATCCTCCATCCTCCTCCACCAGAGCTGTCGACTCTGTAATCACGTGACACTATACAGCTCTGACTTCATTTCTCTTCCCGCTGCATCTTCTCACCACATCCCCAACCACAACACCCCTCCACAGCCCTCTGCAATGTCCCTCCCACTATTAACGCGCTCCCTGCGCGGTCCCCAACTCAGCAAAGCCCTCCGCCACTCCCTCACCACCACCACCCGCTACCAATCCACCACCACCCGCTACCAATCCACCACCACCAACAACAACAACACCGCGAAACCCGCCACCACCTCCACAACATCAACAACACCCAAGCCCGCCACCACTACATCTACCTCTTCCTCCCCCTCCACAAAAACAACCCCCACCCTAAAAGACCTCCTCGACCACCCTCCATCCCCAGCAAACCCAACCGAAGACCGCATCGACTGGACGCGCTCCTTTCACGGGCTCAGCGCAACCCCCTTCCCGAAAGAATGCGCAGACATCCTGCTCGCCCCGACGGACCCAGAAGAAGTCGAAATCAAACCTGACGGCATCCTCTACCTCCCCGAGATCAAGTACCGCCGGATATTGAATAAGGCGTTTGGACCCGGTGGATGGGGTCTTGTGCCGAGGAGTGAGAGTATTGTTACGCCGAAGATGGTGACGAGGGAGTATGCGCTTGTCTGTAATGGGCGGTTAGTATTTTCCATTGCCTTTCCTTGGGGATGCCCGACGCTGATTTGATGATGGGATAGGTTGGTTTCAGTGGCTCGCGGCGAACAGGATTACTTCTCCCCGGATGGCATCCCCACGGCTACGGAGGGATGTCGGTCGAATGCGTTGGTGCGGTGTTGTAAGGATTTGGGCATTGCGAGTGAGTTGTGGGATCCCAGGTGGATTCGCAAGTTCAAGGCGCAGTATACCCGGGAGGCGTTTGTGGAGCATGTGGTGAATAAACGGAAGACGAAGATTTGGGTCAGGAAGGATGATACCGTTGGGTATCCGTGGAAGGAGACCAAGTTCTAGTCTTCCTGTCTTTCCCAAATTCTTATTAATTCTATTTCTATGTGGGGAGCAAGTCTCATTATGAAACGTGATACTAAATTCTGTATAACAGGTCAATGTACGATATCATTGCGAATTACATGCTAATAGATCAGTCCACTCATAAAATACTAATAATACATCATATGCAACAATCTAAGTGGCCGTTTTTGCAAGGAAAAGAGGAAAGGAAGAAATCGTCATCACTCATGGCTACTGGTTACCTGCTCCCTCGTACGGCCGTCGCGGCACATATCGTCCTGGCTCGGTTTCTGTTAGGTGTGTCGAATGGTGCTCCCGTCCGTCTGGCGCCTGCTGCTCGTGCATCGACGGAAGCTCGAACGGCTGGTTCGGGTCGTAGGGGTCCTCCGTTGGGTCGTAGTATTGTCCCGGGTAGTTGTAGTACTCGGGCGGCTGCTGAGGCGGATGGGACATGGCGGCCCCCGCGAGAGGCTGGGGCACTGCGACCTGGGGCAGCGTGGGCTGCGCCTCTTGGCGATGACGGGGAGGGACTGGTTCAGAGAGCACCGGGACATCGCCTCGAGGGGCAGCCACGGGCCGAGGTTCGGGGTCAGGCTCAACGTGCGAGGTACGGCCCTCCTTGCGACGACCCGTTGACGGTTCGCGGGTCATGAGTCCGTAGGTCACATTGAGTTGGCGCTCCTGACCGGGGGATCCCACGGGTGTCTGGTAGTGGTCGACTTCGTGACCGTCGCGGGAGCCGTCTTGCGACCGGGCTGCGTGCTCTGCGGTAAGACCTTCACTGTAGGAGCTGGAGGCGCCCATGCCACGACGCTGCAGCGACTGAGGGGAGTTGCCGAGGTCGAAGCCAGTCGAGCGGGATTCGGTGTAAGAGACGCCAGCGGTGGTGTTAGCCCGACGCATGCCTTCGCTGGCGATGGAGACCTGGCGGACGGGCAGAGTTTGGTCTTCGTGTCCGGCATCCGACTTGTTGTCATCCTTCTCGGTTTTGTCATCGTCGTTGTCGCTGGCGCCTGGGGCGCGAATGGGTACCTTGCGCACAGCGGAGATCAACGCGCACATGAATTTCGAGCGACGGGCAGCACGGACGGCTTCGTTTGACCAGTTGGACTTGTGGCAGATCAAGACACTCAGCTCCATCTTGTCCATGTCGCCCAGACCAACCACATCAATGGTGACCTCTGGCTGGAAGTCACGGCAGTTGTCCTTGTCGCGCACGAAGCTCTCCATCTCCTCCTGGAGAAGCTGGACGTTGGAAAAGGTGGTCTCAAAGCTAACGGGGACGGTGAGGCGCTCATGCATCGCATTGGCACGGGTGAAGTTGTCAATCCATAGGGTGTTGAGGACGACGTTCGGAACCTGCGTGATACGGTGATCGTTGACATTTCGGAACACGGTGAAGAGCAATGAGATGCGCTCGACAAAGTACGGCTTGTCGCTGATTTCCACACGGTCGCCCACATCAAAGGGATGCTTGACGAAGAGGAAGATACACGAACCCAGCACTTCCTGGGCGGTGGTCGAGAAGACGAAACTGAGAGACAGCAGAGAAGTGGCACCCGCGGCGATAACGGTGCCGAAGCCGCTTGTCACGAAAGAAACAAAGACCAGAATAGCAATGATACCCGCCACGGTCAGCAAAAGGTTGTCGAGAACGTGAATCGCCTGGTCAACGTCGTGGAGACTGTTGTTCAGGGACTTTCTTAAGCGGCGGACTTCACCGATGGCCAAGATCATCTCTTCCAAGCTGATATCCCCGTTGCCGTCGCGATCCAGCATGTGGAAACATTCCTCGGCTTCAGCCTCCATGCCAGCTCCCAGGACCTCACGAATATCGTCAAAGTACAGGGCATCGCGGCCTTCAATGACAAAGGACATCCAAATTCTCCGTGCGAGCGCTTCAGACGTCCGTCTATGTTCCAGAGCCTGGGTGACGACGGACCGAGTGGAAGTGGGGTTGAAAACTTGCTTGCCTGTCAATTCATGGGCCACGTCGCCAAAAGCCGCCGTGACTTTGTTGCCGAACTGGTGGACATTCTGGCCCACGCCCCGGATTAGGCGCAGAGGCGCAGATGAGCTGCCAGAGCGGGTCTTGACGGCTGCGGAGCGGAGAATGGAGTCGGAAATGGCCGCGTCTTCCTCTTGAAATTCTTTGCAGTACATGGGGAACATGTGGCGCGAGGCGTCGAAAAGCAGAGCCACCAGATACACATTGCGCTTCGATTCTTTGATGCGGGCATCAAATTGCTTGCGGTGGTAGCTGATCGAGATCAGATGAACCATGGTTTTCTCGGCCAGGAAAATCAAACTGCAGACGAAGAGGGCGAACAGGATGTTCTTGATAGACTTCTCCCAGGATTTGGTAGAGGTATCGCCCTTGGCTTGCTGATGGGGATTTTGCGTCATGACCTAGAGGAAGTTAGTTGATGGCACGTATGATAGAATCAGACTAGACTTACAGGCAAAAAGGTGACCAAGCACACCACGCACCACAGCACGGTTGCAATTGGCATTTCCAGTTTGCGTAGAATGAGAGCATATTTGCGAGTTCCTGAACTCACGAACCCGATAAGGGTCTGAAAGATGTACGGCAAGAGTTTGGCCGCAATTTTACACAACCACAGACTGATCCAGACGATCTCAATCCAGAACCAGAACCACGGCAGTGTAACTCCGCCGATAGTCGCGTCCTGCGCGACCGTTGCTCCCACGATAATTGGGATAGCGAGGAGAATTGCGAGCGGGGCGACGTAGATGAAGTAGCGAGTGAGAACCGAGTAGTTGAGAATGGCCTGGTAGAAGCGGCCCATGCGAGTGACGGTGCCATCCTCGGGGTCTTCCAAGGAACGTCCGGTACCTTCGTCGATGCGTCTGCGCATGCCGGGATTTGGCGCGACCAACCCTTCCTTCTCGCCGTCAATGCCTTTGTCATCGCCGGGAGGTTGATACGGATTCGGCGATCCTCCCACATTACTACTTGTCTTTCGAGCGCCGGTCTGATTCCGGCTGGGAACTGGGTTCAAGGGGATGTCAATAGTGACATCGTTGGGATTCATCATGTTGTCCGGGGCCATGTCGGGAAGCTGCTGGAAGCGATGAGCCGACAGCCGCTTCTCCGTGATACCAGGTCTGCCGGACATGAATTTCGAAAATGGCATTGGGAATGATTTAGGGAAAGAGACGGTCTAAAAAGAAGGCCAGAAGCTGGCCTGCAGCTCCAATTAGCGAGCGATGTCGCAATTGGTCGGCTTAACTTCCAGGGACGTAAGATCGCTTTGCACAGTCCAGGCAGGATCTGACAATCACTGGGTGAATGAGTGTTGGAGTCCACTGGTTCGTGTGGAGAGCGGGTGGGTCGAGCGAAAGTAGAACCGCATGGACTGGACCAGGACTTGAGACGTTAGTTGGTGAATTAGAGCGGCAGCGAACGGACGTATATTTTTTTGTCAAAGGATCGGGAACAGGTGGAAAAGAGAAAGAGAAAAAAGAAACGAGAGGGAAAGGCATCGGAAAAGAAATGCGTAGAACGCTGTCAAGGGGGGACAGGCCGAAGAAGGAGAGAAACAACGACAAGCCAGGCGAAGGAATGTCAAAGACGCGAGTGTCAGAAAGCCAGAGGGAAAATCGAGGGGAGCAACCCACGCGAGCATGTTTCAGTCGGGCTGAAGTCACTGGCGTGCAATAATGGAGTCATCCTCTTTTTGGGGGCTGGCCTGGTTGGAATCCGCCGATCATTCCCCGGGCCCATAGTTGCTGTCGGACTGGCGACTGCTGATGGTGCCTTTCTGTTCGTCGCGATGATATAATAGGCAAGACTATAGGTTCTCTAAGCCCTATCAGCGTCCCTGAAGGCGATCGATCTGAATTCTGAAGGGGAGAGACAGCCCCCACTGGTGTGAATTTTAGTTCATGGCACTAGTTTTGAGTTGGGAAGTTGAATTGCGTGAAGTGAGTACGTAGAATCACTAGAATGATTACTAGTCAGGGTGGCGGTCACGTTACGAGGAACGTCACACAAGCCATACCGGCAAAGCCCTATTCGCCTTCTTTCGGCCAGTCTAGGGCATTGCTCTGCCCTTCCAGTTCTCCCTCTCTCCCTCTCTCTCTCTCCTTTCTCTCGCACTTTCCACGGCCCGCGACCGTTGGAACCAGTCAATCCTTTCAGGTGGTTCCAGCCAGTTTCTTGTCTTCCTTTCAACTTGGCTAATTATTTCCCTGGTTACAACTGAACCAGTCCCCTACGTTTCATTCAGGCACAAAACTAACCAAAATATCGGGGTTGTGGTTTCGATTGTGTGGCTGACGCTAGTGCATTTACTGTGTAATAACCCGGTCGCTTACTATGCCCCTTCAAGCATTATCTTTACTTTTTCCCTAACAGTGAACCTTGTAAGGTTGTTAGTTTGTAAGGCTGATTTGCCGTTTCAGTGCCACTTCTCGCCCCTGAAATCTGCTGCAATCAATCTCACTGAAACCATATTATGCACACCTGTCAGTCCGTCAGACGGCTGCCCCTGGAACTAGTCGATATTGTGATTAGTGCGTGGGATTGGAGCCGTTGGATTCGGCCGCGTTGTGTGGTATGATAAGATGTAAAGTCGGAATAGTAGACTCTCGGCTCCACATTACTTGGACCACCACAACATTTTGTATAGTGTATCGCATATTGCAGTAAAGACGGAGATTTGAAAGCAAGCAGTGAAGATCTATCTGCGGGAGATCGGAGTTTTTACATCGAACAGCCCGTTGCAGTAACACGCATCCTTAACACTGGTACCGGAATAAAGATGACAGGTCACTCCGTCGGCTGTTTCAGAGTGGCTTCTAGACCGTTTTAGTCCCTCGGCCAGCCCGTCTCAAACTCTCGCGCTTTTCCACTGTGGCCAGTCGATCAGAGCTGAGGGGCGACAAAATTAATTGGATTACTAGGCTGTGCCGGCACTCTGTTTTTGAAGGATTACTCAATGTTAATGGCAAATCTGTTCCTGAGTCTTGAACTTTCTTTGAGAAGTTTAACTTTTTGCATGCTTCCATTGCCACCACAGGATAAGTTCAAACCCCTGAGCGAAGGAAAATAGAGAGAAAAGAATAATCTTGCTACATGGGCTCAGAATAACCGATATTTATTGAAATTGAAGGTACTTATAATGGCAATGTCAGGGATATTGGCTGAACATCATGCACTTAGGAATATATGAAATCTGAGTACAGATACCCACCTCTAGTGGTGCTTCTCCGATAGATATAGCTCCATAGCATTCTATAGGCATCTTTCATCACACATCCACATGGAAGTGAGCCATCATTCGACTAATGACAGAGTTCGCGATCTTCATATTACCCTCAAGGGAGATGAAAATAATGAAAGGATGCCTTTCTTGGCTGTTCACTACTCAGAGGTTTCGCAGACCATGAAATTGCGATTTTCAGGTTAGACCATATTAGACATCATAAAGAAACATTAAGTATATGAAGGCCAACGCCTCTTGCATGGAGTGCTACACCATTCCTTCGGCTTGTTCAAGATCAGGAATAGATGCGCTCAAGAGCTACACAGCTAGCTAGTTTAAATCAAGAGGACCTTGCATCAGCCTTTTTGCCATGCCATACACCTGTTTTCCGGTTATCACGCGCCCTCTTCGCAGCTGGTAATCCCCAGGTCACCATCCAGTCTGAGCTCAGTACATCCGTCGCTGTTGCTCGCTTCTCAGGTTTCATTGCCAGCATTGAGCGAAGCATGCTTAGAATGGCTACCTGCCCCTCTTTGGCGAACGAAGACATATTATCCCTCTGTCGTGCGGCCTGTACGTCCTTCTCGAAAGTCTGCTCAAGAGATGGGTAAACAAACCGGTCTTTCTTAGGCCTTCCGATCTCTTCAAAATACTCATGGCGTTTCTCCCATGTATTCCACCATTCAGGCGGGATCTCTCCAATGACATCTACTTGTTGAGAGGCTATGTCATGTCGAGTGGCAAGTGTGGCATCAAACAACCATCGCAACCCAAACATGGAATACATTACACATGCAAGACTCCAAATGTCCGAGGGAAATGAAAGAGGCTTGTCAGGTTCAGAGTAAGCTTCAGGCGGTATGACTGGAAGCGGTGAGGGACAGTCCTGCCCACGTCGCCGCTGCTCAGGGTCGGAAGGGGAGAAGCTCTTGCCAAAATCGCTAAGAAGAAGCTGGGCCTCATCTAGCGGAATGTCGACTGCTCGTTTTCCTAACCAGACCGGTATTGTCCCACACGTAGGGACGCCAGGAGGGAGAAGCTGTCCTCCAGTCGCACAACTAGTTCCGTATAGGGCTCACCGAACTGCTCATAGAATTCCTGGACTGAGAGCTTGTCAAGGCTAGTAGGTAGGTGTATCAGGATGTTTCCAAGATGAATATCTGTAGTCGTTTTAGCGGTACTTTTATGGCATTGCCCTTCTCTCATATACACGAAAGCCTTCAGGGTGAGTATCTCCTCACTTACCTCCATGAACATAGCCTTGAGCATGAACGAATGCAACAGCTAGAGCAAGTTCGGCAGCTAAAACACGAGCCGTTTCTAGTTGAAAGTAGCAACATAATGATGCTGCAGATACACTGCTCTGAGCGGGTGCTGTGACAATGCATTGATGATGCCCATTTGGGCCCTCAATTTTGAATTCGTCCAGGATGATGGGAGTCAAGGAACGACTATTTGTATGTGCCGGCCAACGATTCATGAGCATACGCAATATCTTTGCTTCATGAGTGGACGAATCTCCAGTACTCACCTTGACCGCTACATAGGCTGCCTTTCGCTCGTCTCGTGACAGCCAGATTGTAGAAAAGGTCCCATGGCCCAGTTTGTGAATCACTCGGTACCGGCTCTTCAGCACATCTCCCACACATATCGGATGATAACGCCCTAATCTGTACCTCTAGAGCAGTTCCACTTCCTCGATAAGTTGATATTGAAAGCCGTGAGTGTCATTGGTTGTAGAAGTCACGACATTTCGGATGGTCACATTCAGGTATAGAGGTGACTGGAGATACCAACAGGAAGAATAACACAAACCGCTCATCAAGTGAGCAGGCCGTGTCATCATGATAAAATGGGATGTAGTTGTTGTCAAGCCGGGTTGTTCGTGATGACGTTGGACCGAAGCACAACACTGTCGCTGTCAAGGGTCATGTGAGGCGCATGTGAGTGTAAAGGCTATTTCCTGATAGATCTAAGAGCATGTACCGTATGTATGTATTAGGACTGGAGCTTGCAGCTTGACCTGCTTTATTTTACGGCTGACCCCGCAACTGATCAAAAGTCCTAGGAGGAACCATGGAAATAGCCTGCGCTATGACCCTCTTTGTGATGTATCTTTAGAAAGCAACAGAATTATGGTGAAGAAGTACCTTAGTGAATCACACCATGCTAAAGACACATGTGTTGTCGTCATTCACTGAGCCTGTTTGGGAGCACAGACTCATTGCCAGCCCGACAACGCCAGACAGAACTACCAATCTATTTCTGTTAGACTAGTTGCTGTTTCCCACAACATATCTCTGTTTTAGTATCTATCCCTCTGGTATTTATGTGAACCTCGTCTTTTAACGTGCAAAAGTCCTCAGATGACAAAGCTCATTTTAGCCTTCTCATTTTAGCCTTGCCGTACTCAATGAGACCTTGCAAGGTCGACTGCAGTCAACGGAATTTCACTGTATTACACCTGACAGAACGTTTCCCTTCTAAGAACCGTCTAAGAGTGAGGGATAACACATTCTTCTAAGGAGGCCCAGTGATAATCGATGGACTGACCAGGTAGGAGGTCTGTTTCCCGGGTAGCTTTGGTTAGCTTGGTGCAGTTTGTACAGAGTAGATCTCGGTAATAATCGAACATGGCCCGCATGCCAGCAGCTATAAGATCATCGTAACGGCATCTTAGGATGCGCGCTGACTAACATCTTCAACATGCTCTGACCTAGCCCATTAGGCCATCGTTTTTGATTACCTCCTCTTTTTCCCGTTTGAATAACCAGTTACCTTTTCCCGGTGTAGTTTAGTGTCCAATGGGCCCTAGTAAGGTAGTATCAGCTGGCTTCATCCTCGGTGGTTAGGCCGCTTGCTTCAGCTGGGATTCTCCGGCGGACGGCAATATGCTTACCTAGAGGGTGCCGACCGGTGCCATGCCCTTGACAGCTAATTATTTCCCAAAAAGTTACACTCCTGCATTTGGTATCAATGAAATGCGTCCCAGCGACACTGCGCGTCTAGATCAGTACGCAGGAGCGACGTTGGGTGGACAGAAGCTGAATAGGGACGAGCCGTGGGTGAAGGGAACATGAAGACAACCTGTCTACATAAGTACAGTTTCGGGGCTTCGTATCTTGCAATATATCTTCGAAATTGCCAACTATCCATTGGATTCGGAGGATCTCTCAGTCTTTCCTAAAACGGGTTAAGCCTGGCGGCCCGGTTCTGCATGGTCCTCTTGTAACTCACTGCCTAAAGAAGATGAGATGTGGACAGACGACGGGACAATCTTCCAGAGGTGCCAATTAGCAAGAATACCTCTGATCGTGGCTGGCTGTCCGAGCGTTTTCCCTCCACCAGACGGGCGGGGAAGAGAAGATGGACCCGCAACGGCGCCACAGATTGTTCGTACGCTATCATTCGAGTTGCAGATGCTCTGCATTAGCGACTCAGGTTGTACCCCTCTGGCACGGCAGACTGATTCAACCAGTCGACGGAGTCTCTGGGGATTCCCATCATTTATAGCCCTGCTCGAATTTGCTCTCAATTCTGTGTCCTGAGTGCAATTCTGACCTTGAAATCGACCCTAACCACCACTAACCCTCCCCTCAACCACCACCATGTTTGTCTACGCATGGCTAGGCATAGCTCTCCTCACTTACCATGCTTTCCGCAGCGTATATAGGCTGTACTTTCATCCACTTCGCAAAATTCCTGGCCCGAAGCTAGCAGCTATCACCTATGCTTACGAGTTCTACTACAATGTTATCAAGGGCGGCAAGTTTGTGTGGGAAATTGAACGTATGCATAAGATATATGGTACGTTTTACTACTTTGTCCCAGCTACTCCACATCTTTCCCTCATGACCATCTCTTCAATCAGGCCCGATCATTCGCATCAACCCCGATGAAGTCCACATCAACGATCCGGATTACTACGAGGAGATCTATACTTCCCGTGCTCGCCGGCGAGAGAAAGACCCTTTCCAAGTAGCCCAGTTCGACATCGACGGCGCAGCCTTCTCGAGCATCACACCTGAGATACATCGTCAACGACGCGCCCCTCTCGATAAATTCTTCTCAAAACAAGCCATCTCCAACATCGAGTGTCTCATCCACGACAGCCTAGACAAGATTATCAAAGCCTACAAGGAGGCGTACCAGAGCAAAAGTGTAGTGAGCTTGGACACCGGGTTTGCAAGCTTGACTGCGGACATCATCCACCAGTATGCCTTTGGGTTCAACCCGGGTAACCTAGACGCGGAGGGATTCAACGAAAGCGTACGAGATGCCGCCAAACGCGGTTTTGCAAAGGATGCACTTACTCAATTTCTTTCCCTTTATCAAAGTGGTCCTTGGCCTGCTGCCGCACGGGTTGCTGCGCCTTATCAGCGAGCCAGCAGTGAAATTAGCGAAAGAGAAAGAGGATTTGTATGCGAGAAGCGCGGCAGCGCTAGAGAGGAACCAGTCTCCCGTGAAGGAAGATGAAAAGGTCAGTAATAGCAAAGGCGCGATTCTGGATGCTATTGCTGGGCCTCGTATGCCAGCACATATGCGGACGCCTAAGCGACTCATGGAGGAGGGGCTTTCTCTGGCCATTGCGGGAACGGAAACCACAGCGCGGGCGCTCTCTGTCGGGACCTATCACTTGCTTACGAAAGAGGATGTCAGGCTCAAGTTGAAAGAGGAACTGAAGACCGTTATGCCTACACCTGATATGCGGGTCAGTCGCACGGAGCTGGAGAAGCTGCCTTATCTGGTGAGTACCATATTCATTTTCGAGTTCATCTATTAACAATAAATACTAAGCTTTGCGACATGTAGTCTGGTGTCATCAATGAATCCATGCGTCTTGCAACAGGCGTATCTTTCAGGATGACCAGAGTAGCTCCCACAGAAGCACTGGTTTACAAGGAACATGTCATTCCTCCTGCTGTACGTATCATCTTTCGCAATGCTGTTGATGCCGTCAGTCTGCTAAAAGCTTCTACACCATCAGAGTTTTTTCAGCTCATCCACCGTCTTCATCCTCATGAATTCGAACATTTTCCCCAATCCCCACGATTTCGATCCGGAACGCTGGATCCGAGCTGCTGAAAAGGGGGAGCGATTAGATCGGTATCTGGTGAACTTTTCCAAGGGTGCTCGGATTTGCCTTGGCATGCAGTAAGTTAACAAGTCTAGAGATGAGAGGATCAAATGGTTGCTGATGTAATATTTAGACTGGCTTATGCCGAACTTTTCATTGTTATTGCCGCACTTATGCGCCAATTTGAGATGGAGCTAGTCGACACTCCAAAGGAGACCATTGAATTCGCGCGAGACGCTGGGGCGCCGTATCCTGAGAAGGGAAACTTGTCCATCAAAGCGAGGATTACGGGGTTGGCTCAGGAGTAGGTAGGGCCGACTGAGTTTAAGCAGAGTGTTCACTCGGCTCTTGGAAATCATGGTATATCCGATCAGATAGTCTAGGCTGATGAAGGCCTAGCTAGTTGTCATGATGGATGTGATAGTTATGTCAGCTCTTGTTCATACAAACGTAACAAAATACATACTACCTCTCCTATCAGCACATCTGCTGCATGTGGATACCTCTGAATGTAAATCCCTGCTCGCTAGTTGTATCAATCTACAATACTGCCAGCGATACTAAGATTCAGTCACACAGGATAAAGTATCTTCAGTTACATCAATCACGATCTAGCACATGCCATTCCAATACTATACACAAGGAATAGTACCTTGCTTATCTGGATTACTGTCTGTTGTTGAGGGTGGTACACAGCTCTGCAAGGGGATCGTTGTCGGCTGAACATGGTAGGACGCGTTAGTTGGGATGCATTGCCTGTTGAGTGGAATTTCCGTAGCAGCACTAGGAGCTCCCTGCAGTTACTAAATCTATACAGCTATCAGGCCAAAAGAATATCGGATAATACAATTGGAAGGGCATTTTCTAACTATATGAGCGCGGTTGTACATGTCTTTCATGTTCAACAATGACAGCCATCGAATCAATAAAGTAAGGGGCTAGTGGATTTGAAATATGAGTGATCTGACTTTTCGGTTATGCAGGAGTCCAAAGGAAATGATGGACTCTAGTGAACTTGGTGTCTAGTATGCATAATTCGCGGATCTCTCGCCGTAATTGGAAAAGTGATAAATCAGAGACTGGACAGTGTTACACATATGCACAAGTAGATTCCGTTGGTACGGACATCTGAACTCCCCATCACTGCTTGAACCATAATCATTGCATTGATAGTACGCTTGGTAATTTCGTTGACCTGTGCATCACATCATGTGCTCTCCACTTTCTAGCATGCCATCTAACCCCATAAAGAGGGGGTCCAAACCCTTCTCATCAGTACGTTGGCGGCCATTGCCTAACAGTTCTTTAGGGACACCTATACCAATTAAGCCATCTACTTCTTGAAGCTCCGTATCTCCCCTTTGCTTTTACGTTTCCGTACCTCCTCGACAGATAAAAACAGACATGAGTGTGCACCAGGACGACCAGGCGATTGACAGCGACGAAATCGACCGCATCGCCATTGCCCCAAATGCCCCCGACCAGGTACCACGTCTGATCTCAGAGATTAACACACATGGTCAGGCCTTTATGTCAGGACATTCAAGTGTGCGAGCTCAATTGGCAGACGCTGCGGAGTCGCTGTTGGCCGTACTCGAAACACCACGAGAAACGATCCATCGGCAGAACTTTCGGAACGTAATTTCTTCTCGATATTATCCGTGAAGGATAGAGAAGAGAGAAACAATTACTCACTATCTAAGTAGCCCACTGGATGGGCTGCCATCAATATTGCCATCGACCTGGGCATACTTCGCCTGCTAGTTGCGACCAAGCGGCCCATGTCGATCCTGGAATTGGCCAGTGCCACCGGAGGGGACCCTGTCCTGCTGGGTACGTGGATATAGCTTTTAGCTTTCCTCTTAAGTAGAAGTAACTCTCCTACAGGGCGTTTTATGAGGCATCTGGGGGCTATCAATGCCGTCATTGAAACGAAAGGCGGCGAATACACTACTAATGGGTTTTCCTTCACACTCGCCCACAGGAAATATTCTGACTCGATCCTCGCAGTGTTAGTCCTCTTCAATTGCATGATACTGTAGTAATGCATACTAATATAGATAGCGCGGGCTCCATGTACCCCTCGATCAATGGTATACCTGAGTTCTTTCGCCAGAATGGCTACCAAAATCCATCCGACGGCCGTCACTGTCCCCTTCAAATGGTCTATCGCACGACCGACTCCTTTTTTGAATACCTCGCTCATAACCCAGTCATTAGCGCGCAATTCAACACTCTCATGGGAGTCCACCACCGGGGCCGTGCCAGCTGGATGGACCCAGGATTCTACCCGGTCGATCAACTCATGGCTCCATCTCCGATAGGTGAGCATGACGTGCTTCTGGTCGACGTTGGCGGTGGAAGAGGCCACGACCTCAGCGAGTTGCGTGCCAAGTGGCCGAACCTCCCCGGGAGGTTGATTCTTCAAGATCAGCCTGCGGTCCTGGCTGAGGCTACCAATCTACATCCGTCTATCGAACCCATGAGCCATGACTTTTTCACCGAGCAGCCAATCAAGGGTATGTCCCACCATTTTTCATAGCTTATTGTATCTCCATTGAACTTTTTATCCTTCTTTTTCTTATTTTTTTTTTCTTTCCCTATTCTGCCATCTCGTATAGCTGACCGAAGCTGACTGGGGCTGACTGCGGATATCCAGGAGCTCGCGCCTATTTCCTCCACTGCATCCTGCACGATTGGCCGGACAAAGACTGCCATCGGATTCTCGAACCCCTCAGAGCCGCCATGATCCCAGGGGTCAGTAGACTTCTAATCAACGATTACGTTATGCCTGACCAGGGTGCGCACTGGCAGGCAACATCGCTGGACATTAACATAATGTCGGTCTTAGCGAGTTTAGAGCGGACGGAATCGCAGTGGCGGCAATTGTTGACCGAGGCGGGGTTTCGCGTTGTTAATGTATGGACTGTGGATCGGTGGTCGGAGAGTTTGATTGAGTGTGAGGTGGTGACTTCTTCGGCGAGTGAAACTGTCAAACACAGACTTTAGGAATCTGCGTTCGTTTTCAATTTGTTTGTGGTTTCATGTTCACATTGTCCCATCGAGTCTTATTATGTGATGGTGGTGATGTTATCCTGAACCTAATCAATCTCTCTAGCCATAGACTTCAAGCTTATAGGTATGACGTAGTTAATGGAGTTATCTTGAGGATCATCCAAAGCAAGGGGGTCCATGTTAGTAAGGGATAAGGGAATGGTGACATCGTGAGCAGCTGTAGTCGGCCATTGTTGGAATGGTTGAGATAGTCAATGCCGATCCTTACCAAAATCATAATCGAGCGATCTTGTCAGGATCAGCCGGCATGTCGCTGAGATCAGTAGATCTGTGGGCTGCTTGAAGGAACTCTAGTACTCTGTATATCCTTCTTTGAACGACCGGCCTTATTTATCACTTACTATCACATATGGAGCTGTTTGGGCAAGTTAGTGGCCAAGCTGTCGGTCTACATACCATCAAGTAGACTAGGGGCTTAGAGTTATCTGGCTGTCACAAATACGATTTTTTTTATCAAGGGCAGCCTTCAGCATAGTTTCAAAATAGCCAAGCTATATCCGCGGAACAACGGTATTGTAGTAGTATGAATGACAACTCTCGTGAAAACCAGTATAGACTGTATAACAACAGTATTCGATCATCAAAGTGTCAATCAGATCTTGTAATGGACTCCTGTATAATGTCTTGCGGCGTAAAAGTCAGTCATAGCGCAAGGTAATCCGGAATAACGGATATAGCGAATTGGCCCTAAGTACCTGACTGATTATAAGATCAGCAAATTTACAGGTAAGCTAAACCATCTTATCCCACTTAATACAGAGTAGCGCACGAAGAATCTGAAAAGCTCCTAAAATCAGAGATCAGATGCGAGTAACACCTTAAGAAGAGGCGGCAATCATCTGACCCCCTGGGACTAAAATCTGACACTTGCGGGATCCTACTCCACCACGCGTCTTCTGCCTCCCGAATCCCGAGCCGCACTGTCCCATAAACCCACCCGTTTACTTATTGCCCCCAATCGCCAGAGTTGCTGCCTACCGTTTGGAGGTTTCTGCCTACAGCTGGGAGGGTTACCCCTGCTTACCAGTGGCACAGACTTCATTCCACGCAGAACCCAGCAAAATGGCACTGCCCCGGAAAGACCAGGTTCTCTCGTCCCGAGAAATCGAGGGCTTAATTGCTGCAGGACAGTCGATCGTCATTGTTAATCAGAAAGTGCTACGTGTCGATTCATGGATCCCATACCATCCCGGGGGTCACAAAACCATCCAACACATGGTCGGCAAGGACGCCACCGATGAATTCACCGTGTATGCACACGATCAATGATGTAGGGATGTAGCTCAAACTAACTTGTGGGGCAGATTCCACTCAGAGGAGACCATCAAAATGGCCGATCGGTACCAGATCGGCCGGGTAGAGGGACGATGGCGGAATTTTGTGCCTCCCATCCAGGGTGGGCAGTTCAGACCGTATCTGGACGACAAGGCACCTTCAGACACCGAGCAAAATGCTCCTAATCCTTCTGTCATGGGCCACAATGAGCCAACTGACAATGGAGATGGCCGCCTCAGTCCAGTTAATCAAGCAGCGACCGAGCTCAACACCAAAGAAGCAATGACCTTCCTAGACAGCCAAACTAAGGAAGAAATTAGCCTCACCCTAACCCGCTACCCATCCCTCGACGAAGCGACCCAAGACGACATCATCAAAAGGTACCAACATCTCCATGACCAAATCCAAGCTGAAGGCCTCTACAACTGCAACTACATGGCCTACGCGAAAGAATTCGCACGCTGCTCACTGATCTTCACCACCATGCTCCTCTTCCTCCATTATGGCTGGTACTGCACCAGCGCCATCTTCCTCGGCTTCTTCTGGTCTCAACTCGTCTTTTCCGCCCACGACGCCGCCCACATCGCCATCACTCACAACTTCACCATCGACAGCCTCATCGGCATGATCATTGCTGCCCCCATCGGCGGCCTCTCCCTGGGCTGGTGGAAACGCACCCACAATGTCCACCACATCGTAACCAACGCCCCCGAACACGACCCAGACAACCAACACCTCCCCTTCTTCGCTGTCAACCACCGCTTCCTGGGAAACCTCTTCTCCAGCTACCACGAGCGCCTCATGCCCTACACAAGGGCAGCCAGCCGACTCGTTCCCTACCAAGCCTACCTCTACTACCCCGTCCTTATGTTCGGCCGCTTCAACCTCTACGTTCAGTCCTGGATCTTCCTCATCCAAGGCCAAGGCCCCCGTAAAGGCCCAGCCTGGTGGCACCGTC